AAATATCAGGCCGCTTAAATGCAAAATGGCGCTCATGGCCTTAGGTTGAACATTCAAACAGGGCATTTGAAAACGCTGGTAGGTGCACTAGGAATAAGCCCAGGAGAGGGGAGAAACGCCAGGGAGAACAAAGGTTGCTCACGTCCTCCCCCAGAATCTCTTCCCTCCCTAAGGCTTAGTCCCAAGCACTGTGAGTGGCTCACTCACTTCAATGGCCTCCCCCTCCCCACCCAACGACACTTGCTCTCCAAGGGAACCATAAATTAGGTTTCTAGCCTTTTAGACACCCATCGAGTCAGAATTACTGACAACTCACAGATTTAAAGCTGTCCTTCTCGCGTTTGATCTTCATTTCACTAGTTTCCCGTGGCGCCAGTACACCAGAACTGGGCTCCATAGCGACTCCATCTGTGGACGTTACCCTCCATGCGACTCCGTGATCACTCGAGTTAGCGATTTTCAGGTTAGTTTCGGAGCTTTCAACGCTGACGAGGACCTGCTGTTTGCTGGCAGAACTGAGCGGTGGGACAGACATGATGTAAAATGAACCCTTCTGCGTCGCTGCTGCATAACTACCCTTATCAAACAATATTGATGATAGAGTGATTTCCCAGAGAAGGATGGTTCATTCAATTGAATGACGGTATAGATGCTGTGAAGTAGGAGAGGGTATGTCATCATAAAGCTTGGTTTTCTTCTACGCGCTACATCGTGTGCTTTCAGAGAGACGATGGGTGCCGTCTTGAAAGGCTTCTGTATGGTCACAGAGATTATATGGCCACCTCGTCTGCGTCTGAGGATGGAGGACGCCCGAGTGAAGAACATGCTGCCGTCGTACACCCTTATCCCAGATGACTTGTCGGATTCTGAACGTGAGAGTAACTCCCATTTTGCAGCAATGGCCCAAAATCACCCCTCTTATAAGATCGCTAGATCCCATCATGCACCGAGCCGACATATCAATAAATCTGCGTGAAGAAAAAGATACGAATCGACCCCGACTTCACACAGCGGACTTTTTGCAAGAGCCAGCAGTCTGCGGTACACCGTTTTGACCCGTTTGGATAAAAAGCCTGATTCGCTATCGCAATATACGGGCGCACCTCTAGGACTGATCCTCCTACCCGCCTAAGGCAACGTTCAGAGTTGGCGGTCGTATATGCGATTAGGCGGTAAGCGATTAGTCTATAATGGAAAAATATACGTATCGATTAGGCGTAGGCGAGTAGGCGATTAGGCGATCGCTCAATGGGCGGAGCAACAAATCAATACGTATCCTTCTCTTATCGCCTACTCGCCTACTCGCCTAATCGCTTACTCGCCTAATCGCCTAATCGATACGTACACTTTCATTTTAAATCATCGCCTAATCGCCTAGTCGCGTTTACGATCGTCGACTCTGAACGCTGCCTAAGGCTTATGGGTAGTCCTGCTTTCAATGATAAGGACATATTTATGCAGTTTCAAAGGCGTTGCTACGAATGCCCCCATGTCCTGCGATAGCGCCAAGCTTGATTGAGGAAAGTCCAATCCCGAAGGAAGCCTACCTCCCACTGCTGTCAGCTTCATCACTGCCAGTCGATGTTTTATTTTCACATTTTTTTCCAATCTAGACATCGCTTTTCAGTAGAAGCAGAGACCTACACTTCGTCACGCGAGGAACACTCAAGAGAAGGTGGTGGTAATACAATGGAAGCCACAATTCGAGTTCATATTAAAGACGATCAACAGGATGCTACATTAGACATTTCACAGGTGATTTCGTCCAAGTCATAAAAATGAAAGAAATTTGGGCGCTTCGCAAGAAGGGGGACATCCATCAGGACTAATCCTAAGACGAGGCAGGAATTAGGCTAGGCTTAGTCCAAGAGGATGCCTCCGTATCTTGCGACAGCGCCGAAATTCGTCTCAAGCGGTCCCCGAGAGGAACCGTTCATATTAAATCACGTCGGAAACAAGGAGATCAGAAGATAGGGAAGAAGGTATGTAACGATTAGGGGAATAGACTAGGAAGTCAGGAGATCCAACAGAACTTTTCCGGAAGCTCGCATTCCCTATTCCCGCGTACTCCTTGTCCACATACCCAATAATTTCACCTCAATATCCTGATTGCTTAATCACTTTTCTCTCAATCGATACATATCTTTTTCATTACTCTTGACCACCTGAAGGTGCCAAGTGGGTTGGGGCGGGGACCACGCGGCGGCGCGGCGCTCTGTTCGTCTGCTCCTCCAAGGCTTAGTCCGCCGATGGCGCGTATTTCGAAACTGCCACGTGGCGACGAAATAGTAACTGCCCCTTGGACTAAGCCTTAGAGGAGCAGACGAACAGAGCGCCGCGCCGCCGCGTGGTCCCCCCCAACCCACTTAGCACCCACCTGAATACTCAAAATGCTAACCTTAAAGCAACAGTCCCAGCAGGGTGGGCGTGGTCGGAAACGGCTGCAATCCCCTCGGCCGATTCCCACTTCGGAGCTGTTCAGCCCCTAGTCAAGAACGTAAGAAGTGTGACTGAACAAAAACTCACCTTGGAAAGCCGCTAGGGAGGGAGCTGAAGTGGGCGTGGTCGGAATCGGCCGAGGGGATTGCAGTCGTTTCCGACCACGCCCACCCTGCTGGGACTGTTGCTTTAAATGAACGCAGCCCGATTGCTAGTTTCCGCTACAACATCGCTTTGGGGTGACCTGCATCTGTTAAAGCTAATAGACGATAATTTACAGATCGCAGCACATGGCCGAAACAAAGCGAGTACTAGAGGTAGTTTTCGACAGATTTTTAACGTGACCTAGAAATCAAAGTCGAAGAAAAATATTCTCTAGGAGCTACACACACCAGATCTGTATCAAGTCAGGAAAAAGGCGATACTCCTAATGAAACACCGTCCAAGAAAACACCGTCCAAGACGCCAGTCACCCCGTCACTGAAACACAAGAAATGATCCTTGGGCTGTCGCCGTTACCGCATTATTATTGAGATTTCAGTAGTTAGCGTACTTCCATTCCAATTTTCATTAAAATCATATTCCCCAATTTTCCTAGAGACTTCTCTATTGCTAAAAATTCGAAATGATTA